TATACGGATGATTCAAGACAAACAGTCGCTAGCGTTTTCAAGGAAAGGTGACATCCTGTCATGTTACATCTAGACATGACTGCTACAGCGATCGGAGAATGTGAACGTCAATATCAATCAGATAGTAAAACTTGACAGGCTGTGCTCTATTTGTCGACTAATGTGACATTTCAAGATAAAATAGTCTCATGTTGTTTCTTAGTCATAAACTCGTTTATTATTCCAGAATATTAAACAGAAATTATCTTGAATAAAATAAAAACAGAAATAAAATTAAAATAAAAGCGAAAAGAGTCGGCTAGTACATATGTTTTCGATTGCAAATTAGATTGTGATATCGATGTCATCAAAGACAAATTGCGTTCCAACGCCATTCAGATTTGGATACTCTATACCACCAACCGAATCACGTGTTACTTTATCAATTCCGGCCCATTTTATAGTGTACAAAATGTTTTTTGATGCAACTGGTAAGTTGATCACCGTCTGATAAACAGGAATATTTGCTCGTATACCTTTAATCGTCACCGTCAAATTGTTTCGCCATGCAGCACACAAACTGATAGAGTTCAACTGAAAATACTGGCCCACTGGTACACTCATCGACATTTGTTGAGCATTCGAATTGAAACCGACAAAAACACCACTGCTCAGTCCACTTGCATATCCATTCCAGCCGTATGTCACTCTTTCCCAAGTTGTATTCATAATCAAGGCATTAGTCCAAGTAAGTCCACCGTATCCATTTGGAATGGCAGGATAGCGATCGTTACCCGTATTGGAAATATCGTCGAACGTGAGAACACGAGTGCATCCACAGCCTGAAAATAAAACATTGTTGAGACCGTGTTATCTTGTATATTGTCGGCAAAACAACAAATTATTTACTGGATGTCAGTGATCTCGATGTTGCAAGTATTGGCTCTTTGGGTAATGTGGAATATCCATTTGGAAAAACGTTACCAGCATCGTTTCTAAAAAGTATATACGAACTCTTCAAGTACAAACAAGCAGAAAGAAAGTATACTTACGTGCTTGAATGCACAAAAAATTCAAAAAAACGACGAATAATACGTAGTAGTGGGCCATGTCAACGATAGTCAGACGATGGAATAAGTGAGGAGACTGTGTTATAAGAAGGTCTTTTATATATTAGTAAAAGAGGAAGTTGAAAACAACCATAACTACGTATTTTTCGACTGAGTCAGTTCCGCTAATTAGGTGCTCACCTTTAGACCTGAAGCTTATTTTTTCACATTTGATCAATCATCATAGCATCTTTCTCTCTTCTTTTTCATTTCATATGTCAGTTCTAATTTATTTTATTATTGAAGTAATTTCTCTATATTCTGACTTCTACTCAACTCCAAACTTTACAATATTTATTTTAAAGTAAAAACGTTTTTACATTAAATATCCTGTGCATCATGAACATCATCACGAGAAAAGAATATCATCCTCGGTTAATACTAATGAACAGATAAGTTCCTTGAATAAACAAGCACTCATCACGCTGACAGGTCATTATACTTCTTTGGTATGATGATAATTAATGATTATTCCTTTAAGTTGAAAAATGGTCTGACCTCTATAGCCTATTATGGAGAATACTCATTGACTTTGGCAATTCAATTGATCAATCACTTCTTCGTCACCGTATGAAAATGATAACATTGAGTTTTAAATGACACATTCTGTCTTCTGCGTTTGGATGAACATTTCAAAAAGGATCAATGAGAATAGAGTAGTGTATATGTAGGATTGTTGTGGCTGGACAAACGATGAGCGGAGATAACAGAAAAGAAGAGCATGAACAAGTGTTTTATGAACAAGGTGTCTCAAGGATAGCTATCCATGAATTAGCAAGGGGATATTGAACGATATGGAATACAAAAGTACTCGCCATGGAATCTCATAAACTAAAAAGAGAGATAAAAGAAAGTCTGCTTACTGATATTCATAGTAAAAAAATGAGAACTATGTATTTTCAAAAAGTTTTATGCTGAAAATATTTTGAGAATGGCGATAATATTGTTATTCCACACGAGCATTATTTTTATTTTGCTGTGTTATACTTCACTTTTTGCATAACATTTCGACTGACGATGTTTTTAGAATAAAAATTGGATTGTGAACATGATGATGTATTTGATTTTGTAAAGTACTCAATGTTTGGATACATCTTAACAACAGTAAACTGTTATTTTCTCCTTTTCTCAATAGGTAAAATGCTATTTCTGTATTGTCCCCAAAATTATCTTCAGAGGTACTATTTTTGTGAATGGCAAAAGGACCGCACATGGTCCATATTTAATTTACATCATCAGTCAACAAATACAGATAACGAAAATCTTGATTCATATCAATCATATTATTATGTGAATAATGCTCAAGAGTTCTACATCATGCAATATCTCAATTGATTCGATGATTAAGTCTTCGAAGTGAGAGGTTTGTAAAATAGATAATTGAGCATTCATACCTGATCAATCAATCTGAATAGCTAATGGCCATTGTGGACGTCTAAAGACACCACTTTTTCTTCAACCAACTCTAATAAGCACGTAGTCTTTTACACTGATTACAAATATCGACTTTCAAATTCCTCACAGAATAGCTATCAAAGGACGTGGGCGCATAAGACCCTTTTGTGAACCCAAAACTTTTCGGCTTTTTTGCATTGGAATGGTGTCAGGATATTCCTAGGAACAGTTCCAGATACTGTTTTTCGCGACAACTCTCAGTCAGGTTTTTGAGGCCTGTGGATCCCCTCAGGGTTTTCGAAAAACGTTTCATTTCATTCACCTCAAAACAAGTTCGTACTGCTTCTAGTGTGTGTCATCTCAGTAGGCAACTTCTTCTTTTAGTGGCACTGCCGTTTCGAAGCTATTTGAAGAACATCGCTGCAAAGGGGCTTAAGACATTCTGTGGCGAGAAATCTTTGTTGTGAGCAGCCCATGAGGCATCTTCGTGGAAATATTCAGTTTCTGATACAAAACTTTTGTTCTACTAAAATATTGTCACCGTGCTGCTTAAGGGCACCCCCATCCCTTTTGCGGTGCCTTAAAATTTTTTCCGAAGTTGAACTTCTTACGTGTACATATGCGCCCGACAGTTCTCTTCAAGATGAGCCATGCTCGGGCGCAACAAGATGTCTCGTCGAAGAATTATGCACTTTTTGTTAAGAGCGTTAAAACGCTTATTTCGCCTGCATTTTCATTTTTTTTTCAAAGCCAGCTTTTTAAATTCGGCACATATGTGTAGAAGATAGAATGAAAGTTTCAGAATCGAACGAGACCATCCGTACCATCAGCCATCATCGGGATCCGAGGTAAAAATACCGATAGCCGGATATACTATTTTTGATTTGGCATTTAACGCAAGTTGACATAGGTGTTGTTCTACGGTTCATTGGTTATGTCCTACAGTGACTGTTTGAAGGACGTTAGTTGAATAATAACAAGCATTCCTGCGTAATTCATGATCGTGCGTAATACATACGTCATACTCATTGTACAAGAAGCGATTTTCTTTAATGGGGAATAATACACCTACTTGTTTACTTGTTTACGCATTTCGAAAGGGTCATGATAGCATATTTTCAAGACAGCTATGTTATTACATCATATAAAAGAATGATAATATGGAACATATCAAAAGCCAATGAACTAGGAGCATGCGAACGCTTCTCAAAATAAAGAAATACAGGAAAGAAAAAGGAATAAGTAGCTCTTCAAAGCAGAAATAGATATGATAGAATAAGGTGCGAGCAGGAAAAGCAAGAAATATGGTTTCCAACCGATCGGGTCCAAACTTTTTGTGGTAGTAGTGCAACTATATTAATTGCATAGAAACGGACTTTCAAGTAATGAAACGTTAAAAATAAATTAAAATACTATTTCATTGATCAAAAGTACCGTTTGTCAGAAACCTATCTAGTTCCACAAATTTTGAGCTAGAAAGTCGAGAGTGGTCTCAAACGGTAGAGAAATGAAAAATAAAGAGATTTAACCTGGTGATTTTCGAAATTTTGCTCCTAAGTTGAGATATTCAAAACGTACTGAAGATATACCAAATTTGAAACTTGTAAAATTCATAAGAAATTAAAAGAAAGTTAAAAAGATTTCACCAAGTTGCATCGGCGGAGAATTTTCTTCTCTTTTGTTTAAGATCATCTACAGAATTCTAGCTCAAAAACTGTGGGAGGAGATCCATTTTCGCTGAAATAGTGACTAAACGTTCGAGAGTTTGCAAACTCTGCAACTCTGTCTACCAAAATTAAAGCTCAAAAAGATAACGCAACTATGATTTACCGATGTTCGTTGGTTATGTACTACAGTGACTGTTTGAAGGACGTTAGTTGAATAATAACAAGCATTCCTGCGTAATTCATGATCGTGCGTAATACATACGTCATACTCATTGTACAAGAAGCGATTTTCTTTAATGGGGAATAATACACCTACTTGTTTACTTGTTTACGCATTTCGAAAGTGGCACGGCTGTGTGATTGGACATTATGAAGGTTAAGACGGCGACGTTATTACTTCATATATAAGTATGACAATTTCCAACACGGGAAAAGCAACTTCGAACAATGTATTTCTCGCTACTGGTCGTTTTCTTGAGCTCACTACAGTTGCATGGTAAGACGAATGCATTTCGTTCATCTCAGATTAATTAGTCTTTTTCTAAAGTGTAAAAGTGACTGTTTTTGTGAAGTAATGTATAGTCTCTTGGAGTAGTAAGATACTCTTCTAGATGTCCAACGGATCACGATGCAGGACCTCGGTCGCACATTAATGGATGGAGGCGAGATAAATGCGAGATGTTTAGTTTTCAAAAATCTTCAATTTTATTAATTTCCCAGTTCAGTATTGGAGCCATTCAAAAAAATCCTAAGCCTTTTAGAAAGCATCGGTTTTATCAGCTTGTCTTGAAGAACGTCGTCGGCCGATCGTGGATAGGTGTCTCACACAACGTCGGCCATAATGACTTTTCCGATGTGTAAACAATTTGAATTTTTTTATTATCGAATAAACTGCTTCGTTTCCTTTACAGCTGCAATCGCGCGTAGACAATTTACTAGACAGTCAGCGGGCGACGGATATGCTACCTACCACTTGTATTCCAGTGATACTCCGCTCACAAGTGTAGCCTGTTCAGACGGATTGAATGGTCTGATATCAAAATATGGATACAACTCTGTGGCACCTTTGTATCCCTATGTGATGGCTATGTCCGGAGTTAGCTGGAATTCTCCTCAATGTGGCACCTGCTGGAAAATTACTAATGAAGCTACGGGAACGAGTGTGAATATTGCTGTCATTGATGGAGCTGGAAGTGTAGATGGATATGGGGCACACTTTGATATTTCGCCGGATGCCTTTAACCAACTGGATAGTGGAAGTGGGGCTGGAATGGCTGCTGGGCATATGATCGTTCAATACGAACAAGTAGATACCAGTAGCTGCCAAGGTCTATCATGATAAACACTATCCAATTGAAGACGGCGTGAATTGCTTTGATGTACATAAGCTTCTGAGCGCGGATTAACGCTTTTTTCTAAATTTTTCTTCATTCACTCGCTCTTATAAATACTTTACTCCTTGGCTCAATTCATAGTCTCGTCCCAAATGCACCGATTTTCACTTCTTTTACTTAATAAAGGAGTACAAAAAACAGAAATTTTGATTTTCTTCTTAAGTGCAGTTCTATTTTCGATCACAATATGGAAATGCCGGTTCTCGCCTTATTCGTCGGCAATCTGGAACAATTTCGGAGGGTTTGTAGTAAAAACGGCAACGTTAACAAGACCACTGATGTGCTAAATTCTCGATACGACACAATAGCTGTTTGAGACGAGGCGATGGCTGACTGTATTTTATAAATAAAGTGTCGTTTTGAGGCACTCAAGGCTTTTTGAATAGTGACTGTTCTACCCATTCAGAGCATGCTCTGATCTATCATCATGCATTGTCAACGAAAAATGAAACGCCTTTTTTCCAGGAGAAAGATGATTTGTCTCATCATGTTTGAGACAGGTATTAAAATATTAGGTATTAAAACGTAGCGAAAAACATTGATGACCTTTTTTTTCTCTTCCTTTCTTGTAGCAACCCCAGAACCTTACTCCAACGAAGTGAAAAACAGTTTAGAACATCCAATATTCAAAAGAACGGAGTAGCCAGATAGTATCAAATAAACAACTATTTTAATTTTGCCATTATCTGAGATGTTCAGACAGGTGCTTATACTGATGTCAACCAATTTGACTGAAATTTTTGGCTAGATTGTTCATGATCATCTGTTGTGTTGCCGTCTCTTGTTTGAGCTGTTTGTTCTCTAAAGTCTAACTTTAGAATAACGATTTT